CAAGTCCTTCTCCTCAGAGCTGCAAAGGAGAGCATTTAGAATAAAGCCTCAAACTCTTCTTGTCCCCAGGCGAGTGCAGTCTAAAGCTTTGCTTCTGCAAAGATCTCCCAGCTGGACTGGAGCTCGGCATGCTCCTAGGTTTAATTTGCATTTTTTTAGGCAGCTCCATTGGAGGGAGAAGGGAGAAAGTGGATAATCTACATTCTCCTTTTCAAAGTGCTTTTAAAATTATTTTCTCTTCAGTTCTGTCTTGTTTTCTCACCATTTCCTTACAGCACGAGAGCGTTTGCATAGGTGGTGTCTAATATTAACAAACCTTCCCGAGGAAGTACGCTTCTTATACTTTCGTTATCGCCATATGTTGATTACCCGAGACACTTATATTTATACAAAGATCCATCTCTTGTGTGGCCTGCCGTCTTCTGTGCAATTCTGGCATTAATTCACGCTGCTCTCCTTTGACACAGCGACTGACTGCACTGTAACGAGCACAAGTTGATGGCTGTGCTGCGGGATGGAGGCCCACAAGTGGAGCTCTAGGCAAAACACAGCCACAGCAGAGGTTACCTGTGGAAATTCTTGCTGTTTACTTTAGGTTCTCACTTTTTCAATGTCTGTTACCATCACTGAGAGCATTCAGGCCTCACTAAAAACAAAAGCATCTCCTCAAAACCTATTGAACTTCTTTTTCTCTTACCTGTCTGCTGGGAGAGTTTGCCCAACGGATACTGTTACATATTAAAAGGCATATTTTAAAGAGATTTTGTTATAGGGAAAAATGCATTTGAAATTGCTCTCTGAAAAATGGAAGATGTCCAAATAAAGATACTGTTACTATCATTTGTCATCATCTAGACACAGAGACATTTGAAACTTAGATTTTAAAGACACCAGCTTAACTTTTAGAATGAGCTCAGTGAACGGCTGTACCTATCGCAATTGCTCCGGAGAGGCAAAGCGGTGGTGAGAAATGTAACCTACTTTAAATTATTTCCTCCCAACTATTTTATGACTTAGTAGTGCATTTACAGTATCTGATAAAGACACACTTTTTAAGATCTTGTTTTACCTTATTTTTTTAAAAAATCTGTTTTCATATGTTCTGAACACGTTATTTCCTGGCTTTCGTCTCTCAAATGCATTGCATTTTAATCTCTTTTATTGCATCAATTAAGTTAATCTTACTGCAATCAGCTGGCTGAATCCGTTACAAAACTTAATCTTCCGCCTTCCTCACCACCCACAACTGGAACAGAGTTAACTCCAAAGAGGGTTTGCTTTCTTCGCTGTAATAAAGGTAACCTCCTTCTCACTACAGGTAGGTCAAGGTCACAAACCTGTGGCAGAGGAAAACTTACACAAAGTGCTAGATGCAGGACCGTATCTGTATCTGACACCATAGGCTGACTGCAGAGCGTTAACAGCATTGTAGGCTGCTGATTCCTGGGAGGAGGGAGAAAAACAAATCCATAAATTAGACTTGGAATTAAATACTGTAAAGGAATTGGAACCTGCGCTATGGATCACTGGCTTCCAGGGCAATGCTGTGTTCTGTGAGTCCGTGGTGGCTAATTTAAAATTATTTTAAAGAATAAATGCATTATTTATTTTTATTGACAGCAGTTCCCTAATTCCCTGAAAAACCTGATTCAGTATTTTCATGGCATAAAGCAGCTCACTGCACTGTGAATGATCAGCCATTAAGTACTTGCAGTTACAGGTATATATACACCAATTTAGTGACACAACAAATTTAGGCAACAAGTGAGACCATGAGAAGAAATAAACCTCTGTCTTAGGCAGTTTAAAAGCCATGCATGCATTTTCTGCAAGTGCCCGTGGATGCACCTCCCAGTCCACAAAACCTCATCTCTGCTGGGCTTGTGAAGGAGAAATGATCCCTTGGTGATGCTCCACAGTGGCTCAGTGAGCGGAGTGGAAGGAAGGAAGGGGGCAAATTCCACTCCTGAACCTGTGATGGACAAATGAATGTTCACTGCCTGTCTAACTTTCTCTATGGGCAGATGATGTAGGCTTGGAGACCTCCTTCCACTATCGCAGAAATGTGATCTGAGTACTGTATGGGGAAAATCAGCATCTACATTCAACATCCATACGGATGCAGTGTGTTTAGGAGGGTTCATGGCATCCTATGAGACGGGGGGCAGAAGGCCTGGCCCATGGCAAATACCGAGGGTCACAGGTGGACAGTGCATCCAAACACAGGGAAAGGAAAGGATGCATGTATTCAAAAGAAAAAGGAATATTCTGATCCCAAAGGAAAGGATTCTGGAGAATGTACAGTGAAGGCCAGGAATATCTAGGAAAACACAGAGCAATGTCCCTGTAGAGAGCAGGAAATTAACATCTTCGGGGCTAGAAATTGCTGGACTTTGAACCACTGGGTGAAGCTGCAGCGGTTGTTTTAGTTGTTTTGTTTCTGTAACTGAAGAGCTGTAGGTTTCAGTTTATGCAAGTCTTCATGAACGTGGTCCTTACCTTGTTGTGCTTCAGGGGCTAGATGAACGCACTGGAATTGTTCTATACTTGCCTTTCCATTTATACGCTTTCCCTAATCTTCCACTCGTTTGCCATTGTCAGGAATCGGGATTCTGGCTTAATCTCCAGTCTGACCT